ACACTTATGTAACAATGCAATAATTGCATAATTGACTGACTGATAATGAACCTACATATACGTACAAATATTCATTTACATGTACAACGTCCTTACTTACTTCATACCAATGACGATAAGAAGTTAATACGAATGACAATATATCCAAAGCTTTGATTCTAACAGTAGTTCTAATCTCATATCTAAAACAAAACATAATGAAAAACACTCAGACCGACAACACAATATGATAGATACATTAACTATTTGTTTTATAATTTGCAACATCATCTAACAATTTACATTTATAATATAATGTATTGGGAAAGCATGGATAATTTATAACAAAAGAAAAATTACAATAWAATTTATTTTGAGATGCATAAAATGAAACCATTTGATGTCTGTCATGATTTCACGTCAGACTCTGTTTTTTTGTCACCTGAAAAATTTTTCCATGAGGATTTGTAAATTGATTATCCAATTGGCYTGTGCAGGATGAACAGCTTGAGCCCTGAATGACACTAGAAGCAGCAATGAACTCTCCTAGATACAAAGAAACCTCAGTGGTTGAATAGCACAATGGATTATAAGATTACAACATTCTGCTTCTTATTAGGGGATCTTGAAGAAAGACAAAAGTGAGATTAAGTCAATAAAAGAGAAATATTTGTGTACAGCTATTTTCTTATTTTAGAATKTGCTCATTTTAAACAACATAAACAACTACTTGTACTTCCTAAACTAAGTRTTTTGCTTTGAMGGCGAYAATAATAAATGTACTTACTGGTCTTTTGCTGGCACATTTCTCAACAATATCATAAAATCGGTCCTGTGGTCCTTTGAAAGTTGAAGACTCTATCAGCTCTTCAATGTAGTTCAAAAGAATGTGAAAGTTTTCCACCAGAGTAGCATTRTTTTGCTGCTGTTGCTAAATACAAATAAACCAGCATTGATAATAATTAATTGTAATTACAATATAATTGATTATTGATTATTTAATAAATATTAAGGGTGAGAATTCTTGAGGAACCATAAAAACTTGTAGGT